ATATAAACCGAACTAATCAATCAATCAATCAATCAATCAATCAATCTCTTCTTGAGTTTGAGAGAAAGGACAGGTGCTTGAAAGAAGAATGAAGGCTAGGGAGAAGGGATGGTCCTTTCCCTTCACTGGAAACTTTTTCTAATTTCTCTCAGAAGCTTGTTGCAGAGGCCTAGTTCCTGGCTGTCATAACCTCTCCCATCTTCCCCAGCCAACACTGGGGAAGCCAGTGGGAAATGAGGTGTAAGAAATGCATTTTGACTCCGCTGTGGGCTATGAGTGTAGGAGGAACAGCATCTGAAGCAAGGATGGAGGGGAAGGGAGAGGAGAGGCGAGGAGAGTTATAGCTTAATAGAGTTGGAAGGGATCTTGTAGGTCATCTAGTCCAACCCCCTGCCCTACACCATTTCTGACCAATGGCAGTCCAATCTCTTCTTGAAAGCCTCCAGGGATGAAGCTCCCACAACTTCCAAAGGCAACTTCTGTTCCACGGGTTGATGGTTCTCCCTGTCGGAAAATTTCTCCTCATTTCTAGGCGGAATTTCTCACCTTGATCAGTTTCCATCCATTGTTCCTTGTCTGGCCTTCGGGTGCCTTGGAAAATTGCTCGATCTCCCTCTTCTCCGTGGCAGCCCCTCCAAATATTGGAACGCTGCTATCATGTCTCCCCTGATAGACTTTAATGTCACGATCTTCGATTCACCCACGCTAGGCTTGGCTGCCTGAATCCATTAACACTTTTCGGGTCTCTGCACAATATATTAACTTCCCCATTAAGCAATAGTAGCCTTGTGAGTTTGCATAGGATTCGCAGATGGACCGGAAATTGCAGCTGCATAAACATCATCCGATCCAAAGCTCCGTTGCAAACCTTGTTTTGTCCAGTTGTGTCTGCTATTTGGAGGGCCTTGCTACTTTCATGTCACATAGTGGTACAGAGAGGATACTGTTACCATGGAAATATAATTTCCGCCATTAACCCAAATTAAGAGGAGAAAGTCGATTTGCATTCCCGGCTGTTGGCCTGGACACACTCGTCCTGAAGAGGCAGAATTCTGCCCAGGTAATTCCATTTATTTTATTTTATTTTTTTCCCTTAGATTTGGAGAAGCAATCATTCATTCCCTTACTCTCAGTCATACCGTCCTTCTCTCTAATTTTATTTTTTTTAAAAAAAATAATCTTTATTTACATTTCAGTTAAAAAGAAAAAAAAGCAACACAACACAAAACGACACACAAAACACAATACAACAATAAACATACATACTTCCTACCTTCATATAGTACCTTAATGAACAAGTATTCGGTACTATAGCTCTAAATTATCCTTCCCTCTAATTTTAGACCCTTTATAGTCAATGCATGTAGTTCTGAACCAGGGGTGGGCTGCTGGCAGCGATGAAATCCAATTTTTTTTTACTACCGGTTCTGTGGGCGTGGCTTGGTGGGCGTGGTGTGGCTTGGTGGGCGTGGCCGGGGAAGGATACTGCAAAATCTCCCTTCCCTCCCCACTCTGGGACCAGCCAGAGGTGGTATTTGCCGGTTCTCCAAACTGCTCAAAATTTCCGCTACCGGTTCTCCAGAACCTGCTGGATTTCACCCCTGGCTGCTGGGGGTTCGCACAGGTTCGGGAGAACCTCTAGCTAAGATTCTGTGCAGTTCGGAGAAACCCCAAAATCCCACTCCTGGCTGGCCCCGCCCACCCTGCCCCTCCCCTCCCAGGAGTTCCCATGCGGCCTGTTTTGGATGCAGGTAAGTGTAGGGCACACGCGGAGGCTCGGGGAGGGCGAAAAACAGGCCTACCGGAAGTTCAGGAAGGTCGGAAACTTCCAGAGCCTGGGGAGGCCATTTTCGCCCTCCTGGAGGCTCAAGAAAAGCCTCCGGAACCCGGGGATAGCAAAAACGGCCCCAACCCCCAGCTGTGGTGCAGGAGGCCGACTAGTCCACACCCACCATGGCCACGCCCACCGGGTAGAGACCCCCTTGCTAAAACTTTTGAAGCCCACCCCTCCTTACCACCATTGCAGCATCCCCATGGTCATGTGATCGAAATCCAGATGCTTGCCAACTGATTCGTCTTTATGACGGTGGCCGTCATCCGATCCCCCTTTTGCGACCTTGTCCCGAGCAAACTCAACGGGGAAGCCAGATTCACTTTAACAGCCGTGTGACTAATTTAATAACGGAAAAAGAATCACTTAACAACCTTGGCAAGAAAGGTCGCAAAACGGGGCACTTAATCGCTGACTTGCTCAGCAGAGGGAAACGTTGGGATCAATTGGGGTCATAAGTCAAGGACTTCCTGTAATGACACGGATCGAAGTGCTAAACTTACCACGAATCTTCTTTTTGGCTTAACTACATTTCCCATGGTGCCCTCCCCTCACCACAGCATTAAAACCCCAAGCCTAGCATTTTACAGCTGAATTTTGCTGCTGTGGGTTTTATTTAACAAGCTGCGTTTCAGCTTTGCTGCCCAAGTTTTCACCCTGGCATCTTTCCCAGGTCCTAATAAAGAGAGAGAGAAGAGAGAGAGAGAGAGAGAGAGAGAGAGAGATCTTTGGTAGGGAAAGTAAGGATACAGAATTCAACCCTATTAATATTTGATATAAACAGCTTCTGATTCCGTGAGCCTGATTTTCCGAGACGAGGAATTCGCTTGCCGTTTAACTTATTGCGGTATTTATTTTATTTTTTTTATTGCGATACGATAAACCCTTCCAAAACACCGCCACAGAGTTAATTAAGGAATGGATTATCCTGGGCAGTCAAGGAACAGAGAGTCTGGAAATTTAGGATTTTGAGAAAGATTATTATTTAACGCATGGGTGATATCAGAAAGACACAGAAGCGGAGAAGGGGAGGGGTATATGACATCATTTATCTCCTGCCTACAACACAGTCCTTTAAAGCAGTTCCAAAAAGGCTCCATGCCAGGGGTGAGTTCTAAATTTTTTTACTACCGGTTCCGTGGGCGTGGCTTATTTTGTGAGTGTGGCTTGGAGGTCATGTGACTAGGTGGGGGTGGCTAGCTGGTCAGAGTCATGTCTGGAAGGTCCTCGCAGTTACGACCAGTCCTCGCACTTACCACTCGACTCATTTGTTTGCTTTTAACAGTGATCAGCTGTAGGGCGGCCCTTTGAAGCCCCGCGGCAAGAGTTTAAACAGTTTTTTTTCCCTCTAGTCATCAGCTGGGACTCAGGAGGCAGCAATAGATTGGGGGTGGGACCAAATAAAAGGTAAGAATAACGTTGGGAGGGCGGGGAGGGGAGAACCGGTTCGGTGACGTCATATCGTCACCGCTACCGGCTCGGCCGAACCGGACCGAACCAGGAGGAACCCACCACTGCTCCACGCCCATTTGCCCCACTCAGGTGACTCACGAGGACACAGACCTACCTCCAAGTGGCCTCAAGGACTCTCTAAAAAAGAATGCAAGTGACCAGCTGTCTGCAAAGACTATAAATCCAGCAAAGAATAGAATAGAATAACAAGAGTTGGAAGAAGAGGTGAAATCCAGCAGGTTCTGGAGAACCGGTAGCAGAAATTTTGAGCAATTCGGAGAACCGGCAGCGGAAATTTTGAGTAGTTCGGAGAACCGGCAAATTCCACCTCTGGCTGGCCCCAGAGCGGGGTGGGAATGGAGATTTTGCAATATCCTTCTCCCTGGAGTGGGGGGGGGAATGGAGGCTCTCCGCAGCAACACAAACGTTCATTGCACGTATCCGGTCCAGGGGTCGTAGTTTGAGGAGCCCTGTTTGAGTGCAATATAAAAAAACGCAAATAATTTTTCTGCGGACTTTCAGTTGGTGACCGCTGACTTGGAGGACTGAGAATTTCCATCGACCTGATCTCAAGAGAGCATCAGGAGCTCAGGGCAGCTGAAGGGGTTAAACCCCACCCCACCCCCCACCCCCACCCCCAGAAAAAACAAAACAGCTTTTGAAAGGCCGGAATCATGAACAGAGACATTTAGCCCGGATCATATCCGATCAAGGAAATAAATGAAAGCTGTTTTTAATTTCACCCCTGAAAGAGTTGCCTCCGAGACGGAAGGTTAATAGCTGCCGTTTGGCACATCCATTTTTCCCCATCGACATTATTAACACTCCTCTCCAGGAAATAAAACGAGCGAATTAAATCTCCGCTGATGCGTCTTAAAACCGGGATCGTCGTTGCTTTGCGGTTGTTGTTGTTTTTTAATAGAAAAAGCAGACCTTAGATCTGAGGGAAAGACGGCAGACTTTCTCTCCCTTGTCTCAAATGAGCAGAATTTGGGGTGGAGATGGAAAGAAGGTACACAGGGGAAACCTCGTAATTGAGTCCAAAATTTCTTTTGCTAAGCGAAAACATTGGTCGCCTGAGTTGTTGTTTTTTTTTTGTCCCCTTTTTACGACTTTTCCTGCCACGGTTGTTAAGTGAATCCCTGCTGTCGAGTCACCTGGCTAGAATGATATAAGCTTGCTAAATGTAATCAATACGATTAATAACTGTTCTATTTTTATTAAAAGGGATGACACTTAGAATAGGGTGATTGCAGTGGTGGGATTCAGATTTTTTTTTACTACCGGTTCTGTGGGCGTGGCTTGGTGGGTGTGGCTTGGTGGGCATCCCACCCCACTCCAGGGGAAGGTTCCTGCAAAATCCCCATTCCCACCTAACTCCACGGGAAGGATACTGCCAAATCTCCATTCCCTCCCCACTCCAGGGGAAGGTTACTGCAAAATCCCCATTCCCACCCCACTCCAGGGGAAGGATACTACAAAATCTCCAGGACAGAGAGAAGGAAGACCAAGAACTTAAGGAAACAGACGATGGGAAAAAAAGTAGTTAAATACTTTAAATAAATGTCATGCTGAAACTGGAGGCAATGATAAATGATTGTGTTGACAGTGGCCAGTCACAAAACACTTGCCAGGTGTGGCACATTCACTCCTGTAGTGTTAAGCAGTTCAGAAGACCCATGTCCCGCAACAGCGAAGAAAGACCGATGGACATGCATATTTTAAAAGAATCTTTAATATCTAGCTAGACAGCGTAGGAGCATCGGGCATCGTCTGTGGTGTCCCCACAATACTGATACACAACAGCAGCTGGAAGAGTTACACAGGACAGGAAGAAGAGTAGCCAGAAACACCACTCCGTGGAGCTCACAATCGGTGCATTACAGGAAGCATCTCTTTGCCCAACAATGACGGGTTTCAGAAATATTACACCCCGGTTCCCATTTTAAGGATAGCCACAAGACATCGGCGAGGGCACAGCTGGACTGCCAAGCGAAAATGTAGCTGGCTCAGCGATTCAGGAAACATTTGGGCGCGTTTCAACTACACCTCGTGTAGTTGCGAATGCAGAGGTGACGTGCCATGTCCCTGCCTCCCTGCCGCTGCGCCAGTCTTCACTGCATTCATGAGCTGGCGCATCAAATCAGCTGGAAGCCACGAAAACCAGCTGGGTTTGGAGCGGGATGTGACCCCAACGCAGCACACAGCGAAACACGGAAGCTGCTGCGGCCGACGGAGGGCCTGAGGGCGAGGCAACTCTTGCTAATTGGGATAAAATTTTGGATTAAACCCTACATTGGGGAAAAGGGGGGGGCTGACTCTTCCCCCTATGCTGCAGAGGTGGTATTCAGCTGGTTCAGACCGGTTCGAGCAAAGTGGTAGCAGAAATTGCAGGTGGGCATGCCCACCCGCCCTGGATCTATGCCGTCCTATTTAGGCATGTTTTTGAGGCCGTGCGCATACGCGGAACGCGCGAGTGCAAGCAAAGCACATGCACGGAAGGCTGTGCGCATGTACGGAAGTGGCACACCCGCTCACATTTGCGAACTGGTAGCGAAGGTAGGTGAATACCACCCCTGAACGGAGCCTCCTTGGATATTTTCCATCTGAGGGAATCTTAAGAGACCCTTAGAGTCGCCAATGTTGCCTTGTTTGTGAGAGTGATGCGTTTTCATCGTGTCTTGTGACTGCTAGTTGACGTCCCGCATTTTAAGAGGTAACTAACTATCTCTTAATTTTTTAAAAAAATGTATTGAAAAGAAGGATCGCTCATCAACCTGCAAACTAGGGCGTGAAATTGAGGATGGTTGCAACCAGGGGACATCCTACCTTATTGTCAGGATAATGACGATTTAATAGCTGACCAGCTGCCGTAATGCTGTAATGAGGATGCAATGATGAGGAATGAGTCAGCAGAGTTATTTGACTGTTACCACTTTAAGAGGCTGTATTATAAGAGAGGCCCTGTGAGGGTGTATCTCTCTCTCTCCAAGTGTGCTTCCATGCTGTAAATTGCTGATTGTTTGACTTTTGCCTAGTATGTGTATGTATATATTCTTTTGTAGAGATAAACCACTATTTATTATTACAAACCTCTGTTTACTGTATTTGCTCCTGGGTTATCTCACCTAACAACACTGTGTGCATTCGGACACTTATCCTGAATTAATCCATTTTCTGGGTTTGTGGCACACATTGACTCCATAAATTCACCTAAAATGTATGAATCACAAAGTAAGCGAAGTTGCAGGAAAACCAAATCGGAGAATCGAAGTCTTCGCATGAACCGATGAAGTGAATTAGGTGGGAATGGAATACTCCCACCCACTTGGGCTCCAGCCCCACCCACCACTGCTTCGGCCCCGCCCCTTGTGCAGCTCACAATGAAAAATAACAGACACACCCCGATGGGATTATCTAGCCCAAAGCTGCCTTGAAATCCAGGGAGGCCTTTAGCCCAGCTACTCCTTAGCACAAAGAGCCCGCGGGAAAACAACATGGCGGTGGGTTACTATCACTGCTCTTCCTTGGTGCCCCCCACTGAAAATAACCAAGCTGCACGGAGAGGCTGGGAGGAGCATCTCAGACCCAAGCCTTGACTTGGTGGTTCCACTCCTTCGCACACCCGCACAGCCCCCCTTCTTCGTACCACCGCCACTTCACGCCTTTGTACACGGCCCGGGCGCACGGTTGGAAGCAGAGGAAGAGGTGCAGGCGCCGGGCCAGGCTGCAGTAGAGAGCCATGGAGACCACGATGAGGGGAGACATGATGACGAAGCCCAGGATGATCAAGGCCGAAGAGCTGTTGTCGTCCAGGATGGTCTGGCAGTAGTAGGCAGTCGAGTGGAGCACCTGCGAAGAGCAGAGGAAGTGAGTCAGGGGCGGTGGAATAGAATAGAGTAGAGTAGAGTAGAGTAGAGTAGAGTAGAGTAGCGTGTCAAGTTACGATGTCGTCTCAAATAAATTGCATTTCCAAACAAATAGTCTTTGATGAAATCTTTCATTTATTGAGCACAACAATCTGTCCCCGACTCCATCGTAGTCAGCACTGACCTTCTGACTCCAAACCCTCCCTTTCCGTTCCCCAATTCTCTGCGTCTCATTGGTCATCTTCCAAGTCACTCTCCCCATATCTACTACTTCAGCTCACAGGAATGTCCCCCCTCCCATCCCATCTCCTAGGGGATAATATCTTCAGGGAAAATAAGTAGGTGAAGAGTCAAGCGTCCTCTTCCTTATGTCAGCACTGGAGTGAATGTAGCTTGGAGTGCTGACGTAGCGTAGCATAGTGTAGCATAGCATAGCCAAGGACTAGCTATTTTCCCACCCCGTGGATCCCAACGCAGACTCGCTGAAGATGAGGAACTTCAGAGCTAACGGTTTCCCTCCCCCCCTCTACAATTGGCCCACTCGACACCAGGAATCTTCCCCCACGAAATATTTTAGCTTTTCTAGAAATAGAATACCTCTTAATAGAAGATCTGTTCTATTCAGAATTAAAACAGAGGTAGAAACTAGAAAGGGAGAAATATTATTGTGTTATATTTCTATATAACACTTTAATTAATATGTAGATGTAAAGATCAGAAGTTGAAAGATGTTCCTATTAGGTATACCTAAATAATACCACTATGGCTATTAGCATTGTGTATTAAAATATTGAATTAATTAAACGATGAAGGCTTATATACAGGGTGGAGGAACGAGTAACACGTCAACAACTTTACTTTTAATATGTAGAATAATTATTAGAATTATATGTGTTTGATTAATGTAACTAATATTATCAGTATTATCACTGTCACTGTGTATTGAAACGAACGATACCAGACGCCACACTGCTCATGTATTCAATGCTTGCGTCCATTTAAAAATAAAAATAAAATATTTCAGCTTTTCTGATCCTACAATCTGGAGAAAAATCTATATTTTATCTTGGAGAGCACGTTGAATCAGAGGCGGTGGTCCAGATCGATTTTCTTCAGGCTGAAATCATATTTTCTAAATTGAAAGCCCACGCCGAAGCCTCGGGGAGCCCAAAAGCAGAAAAGCAACCTCGATTCAATTTTATTTACGTTTATGGATAGTTCCCATCCAATCCAATCCGCTCTCTTGTCATGTTAAAGTGCCCATTTGGTGGGTAATTGGCTTTTTTGCTTTGCTGAAAGGAAAAGAGGAGAGAAAAAGAGAGAGAAAAAGAGGAGCGAAAAAAAGGAGAGGAGGAGAGATCAGGGAAGAAGAAAAAATCAGAATGATACTTTGAGTGCTAAGTCTGAGGTTCCGAATTCTTTCTCCTGGTTTAAAAAAAAAAAAAGGATTGGAACATTGAACCGCATTGAAACAAAACCAGCAACCTGACGTTTAGCCAGTCCTCGACTTATGACAGTTCGTTTAATGACCGTTCGAAGTTACGATGACACTGGAGGGGGGGGAAAGTGACTTACGACGGCTTTCCACACTTACACGACCATTGCAACATCCCCATGGCGATCAAAGTGATGAAAATTCAAGACGCTTGTCAACTGACTCATATTTACGACAATTGCAGTGTCCTGGGGTCACGTCAATTGGGAAGCCAGGTTCACTCAACAATCTTATCAACTGCAGTGATTCACTTAACAACTGCGGCAAGAAAATTCGTCAAATTGAGACATAACTCACTTAACAACCTGTCTCGCTCAGCCGCAGACATTCTGGGCTCCATCGGGGTCGTAGATCGAGGGATTGGGATTCACCTGTGTTGAATTTTTCATTCCCCTTTACAGCTTTGGAAAGTCGGCCATTTTTTTAAAAAAATATCCCAGTGCTGTTTTCTTAAACTCCCGTATCCATTTTGGTTTGCTTTCCTTGATTAATTGGCTGTAGAAAACAGAAATAATATCCTTCTGTGTTCCCTAATTATCAGGAACGGGCAAAATTTTGGCTTATATTATCAGAGAAAACTCATCTTGGTCTTGAGGGCTTGTTTAACATTCTACATTCAGTGATGGGATTCAGCCGGTTCGGGCAAGTTCAGAAGAACTGGTTTTTGCTCCCGGGGGGGGGGGTGCAGGAGGCCGACTGCTGCCTGTCACACCCTTTGGCCACACCCATCATAGCCACGCCCACACAGCCGGTCATTAGGGCAGAGAACCGGTTGTTAAAATATTTGAATCCCACCACTGTCTACATTGGAAGGATTTTTGCGTTAAGCCAGGATTTGTTTTAGAAAGTGGCTGGGTACAGGCCAGACAAAGCCAGAATCCCAAACTCATATCTTGGCTTGACCTCTGTATGTAAATTCAAACCGAGATTTAACATTCTATAAAAGGGGGTGGGGTTTTTTTGGGGTTAGGTGAAAGAGATGCTTAATTAACATCTAATTTTCCTTAGCAAATTACCCTCCTTGAGCTTTTTGTCTTGATTGATTGATTAATTTATATGGCAATCTATCAGCGTGTCTTCCTTGGGCCGCCCGCAGAGCAAAGGAAAACAAAATAAAACGTTACGGCTTAGCAAAATGGACTGTAATAATAATAATAATAATAATAATAATAATAATAATAATAATAATAAAAAAGACAGCAACTCAATATTAAGACTGGGAGACAAATTTCAGTGAAAGGCAACGGCCTCAATTACTATCTAGAACTAAAAATTGGACAGACCCACCAAGAACCTAGGAAGCGTTTAAGAAAACTTGGCAGGGGTGGATTTCAAAAATTTTAGCAAGGGGTTCTCTGCCCGGTTGCCGGGTGGGCGTGGCCATGGTGGGCGTGGCCTAGTCAGCTTCCTGCACCACGGTGGGAGGGTTGTTTTTGCCCTCCCCAGGCTCCGGAGGCCCTCTGGAGGTCGGAAATGAACTTCCGGTAGGCCCGTTTTTCGCCCTCCCCGAGCCTCTGCGTGTGCCCTGCACTTATCTGCATCCAAAACAGGCCGCGTGGGGACCCCGGGGAGGGGAGGGGCGGGCAGGACGGGGCCAGCCAGGAGTGGGATCTGAGGTTCACTCCCAGATGGCCCTGGTCCCAACTCTGCCTCCGACGCAGAGCCCTCGTCTGGGCCTTCCCCAGACTCCAGGACTGGCCCATGTTCCTCCCCAGCCTCCTCACTGTCCGACTCCGCTGCCAACTCCGCAGGCTGCTGGTGGACCACAACAAATAAGTTACACATTGCTTTTCTACCTCTTGAAGATAAATCTCTTTGATTTTTCAGTTTCCTATAGATACCTAGATGCTGGACCAGGATGAATAATCCTAGCATCCTATAAATACATGTGTCCAAGCTATCAAGGTATAAACACCTTTTCAATATTCCCTGTTATGCCAAGGTGCAATTTATTTCTCTCACCTCCAGCGAGAGGCATTCTTTGCGCTTCTGCCTCCGCGTGCCTTCGATTCCCATTTTTTTATCGTCTTTTGGGGAAAAGATACTGTAAATGGCAAAAGAAATGTGAAACCTAAGAGCGAATGGAAAAAAAAAAGCAGGGCGTTGAATTTTCATGTTTTCCTCTGGAAGCTTTTCAGGAGGGATACCGGACACAAGAAGAAGTACAACTTGAATAAAATCTCCGGCAGCCGGAGAGAGGTGATCCAGGCCATCTTGCAGAAAAAAAGATCAGTGTTCACAAAATAAGAAAATAAGGCCCAAGGTGGCAAAGCAAATATTTTTGATATCTCTCAAGCAGTCAAAAAGTCTAGATTTGTATTAAGGGGGCTTATAATTTGACTTTGATATGATGGCTGTTGCTTTGCAAAGGACGCAGATGATTCAGAGTACATACAACAAACCGGCTTTCCCTGGGGAGAATCCAGTGGTGGGATTCAGCCGGTTTGGGCCAATTCGGACAAACCGGTAGTTAAATTGCTGGCTGGCCCTGACCCTTCCTGCCCTGCCCCTTCCAGGAGTCCCCATGTACCCCATTTTGGCTCCGAGGCAAGTGCAGGGAGGCCTCCTAGGCCCAAAATGGGGCACGGGAGGGGGGGTGGCGCTCTCCCCCCCGTGGTCCGTTTTCGCTCCCAGGCCCGTTTTCGCTCCCAGGAGGCTAGCTGGAAAGGGGAAGAGCTGGATGAAAGAAATACCTTTGCCAAAGTTGAAATCTCCCAACAATTATTGGTAAAAAAAAAGACCTAAAGCTTGGCAAAGACTTCTAACTCCACAACCCTCCATTCCCCACTCCGCTGAATACTCAATCATCCTGCCTTCTCCCTTAATGGCCTACTTTCTAAACTAATTCCAATGCCAAGTTACTTTGTAAGGTTCCAGTATCTAGCGGTTTCTGTTGCTTTGCTTCTTCGGTGTTATCTTCTCACCGTAGCAGTGAGATTTTTTATTTCCTTTTTTTTTTTTTTTTTGAACTGTGATAAAATGGTGGGAATTTCCTGCAGTCTTATGGGAGGCAATTAGGGTCTATAAAGTCCAAGAGAGTTTGATTGTTCTTTAATATGCGGTAATAAACAACTCCGGGGAGATGAGCCCAGATTAAGGAAGCGCCTGCGCTAATTTCTGCAGGGACGCGAGATGGGGGAGAGAGAGAGAGAAAGAGAACGGAGAAATTAAATCATGAGCTGCTTCAGAGGTTCCCAGTTCTCTTTTTCCTTCAGGACTGAGGGGAAACTGTTGCTCTAAAGATACAGGAACCTCTGAAGATTTGCAGGGCTGGGATTCACCCGGTTTGGACCAGTTCGGGGCAAACCGGATGCTAATTTTACATCTGGTTCACCGAACCTGTAGTTGCAAGGACTGGCTGACACCACCCGCCCCGTCCCGCCCTGCCCCTCCCAGGAGTCTCCACGCGGCCCGTTTTGGATGTGAGGTAAGTGCAGGGCCCGTGCGGAGGCTCTAGGAGGGTGAAAAATGGGCCTACCGGAAGTACC